ACCATTTCGCAAAAACGTATAAAATAGATAATATAACTTATTATCCCGAATAACAAATTATTCGCTTTATACATATTGTGAGAAATAAAGCAAAAGTATTAAGCTCTGTTAAACAGTTAATTAATATATATATATATATATATATATAACAATGTTATAACTTCATAAAGAACAATAATAGGACAAAGTCGAATCTGAAGCACCATATACATCGTATTGATTAAGGTTACTCATTAATCTACCCAGCTTCATTATAGGTTTACATTATTGTGACAAATTAAGAACCGTCAACGCTCTCGTTTTATCCTGGTGATATTCACGTGCTTTAGCTTCTTCTTTTATTGCCTCCCAATGGCACAGCGGCATGTCTGTGGACTTATACTGCAAGAAACCTGGTTTCGATACCGATGGTGGGCAGAGCACAGATAACCCTTTGTGTAGCTTTGTGCTTAAAAACGAAATTTTATTTTTTACTGTTTGACTGCATATTCAATCAAGTTCTCGTTCAAAGAACAAAAATCCTACAGGTAAAGATTTGCAGATCATATACAGGGCCATTTTAATGACTTTGAAGCTCCCGGACATACTGTAAATTGGGGGCCTCCACTATATTATAGTAGGAAGTAAATATTAATTGTTTTTGATAATTGAATTCCTTGTGAATTTCTTTAAATCAAGGAAACTGAGAAACATCCTGAAATTCACCATTCTTCAAAATCGTCTCTTTACGAATTGTACTCAGAAATTTACTACATTAGAGAAAATACATTAACTTTGAAATGATTTATGTCATACATGCTAAATACATACGTTTTGATCAATACATATATTTATGGAAAAAAAAAATTACACATTGCAGCTGAGGCCCCCTTTTAGCTGGGGACGTGATGACCCAGTTTGCCCAAAACGTCACTGTACGAGGTGAATTGAGAAGTTCATCAATTCATTTCAGTACACTATCTTACTGAAACATTTGTCGAAAAGAATTGGAGTTTGTTCCGCCAGAAATAATACCCCAACTGTAAAATATATTAGATAATACCCCAACTGTAAAATATATTAAATAATACCCCAACTGTAACATATATTAAATAATACCCCAACTGTAAAATATATTAAATAATACCCCAACTGTAAAATATATTAAATAATACCCCAACTGTAAAATATATTAAAGCAAGAAATATATATATACATATCTTGGACCTTCCGATTTTTGGTAAAGCGAATAAGTTGTTATTGGTGTTTCGTGGCTTATATGCTAATATTTAACGGTTTCTGTAACACCATCACCTCTTCTCCCACTGAATAAACACACAAAAAAGTTAAAGAAAAAAACGAAAACAAAACATAGTTAACAAAGCTGTCACGTGATCTTTACGTGTATCCATTCACATGAAGGAAAAAATATAAAAATAAATATATATATATAAAAATAAATTAAATACTCAATTAAAAGTTTATTTTACCTAACATTTAGCTTTAAAATCGTAAATGTAAGTTTTAACTTCTGATTCACTCTATTCGAAGTGTGAAAATGTGCATTTGTTCCATCAGTTAATATTAACTTCCGATCAGAGCAAGTTACTTATTTAGAGCACAACTAAAAACCAACCTTATCTTCTATTATTGACAACTAATAAATTTTAGCCACCATAGTATAACGCAACATGTACATAGTGGTTAAAAAGGGGCGATATACATACCAGTAAGAAAATGAAATAATAATGTTATGATATATTGACAAAAAATAATAAAATTTTAATAACAATGTTATATCGCTGACAAACATTTCCCCGCGCCTCTTTGGGAGTCACTTCAAATCACTGCGCCCCCCCCCCCCCCACGCGCACACCCTCCTCTAGTAAGTGCATAATGGAACCTTTTTGAAACCAGTTAAAACATCGAACATACATTACTACTCCTATTTTCTGGAATCAGTATATATATAGTGTTGTTTTTATGTATGGTTGAAGTACTAATGGTACTCACTGGCACCCAGTACCGTTCTTTTATTATTATTATTTTATTTTTTTGGAGTTCCAAGTACCGAAGCCAGTACCGAGTTCCTTTACTTATTTATTTTTCGTTGGTAGTTCAGTTCGGGATTGGAGAGGATGTATCATTAACTTACAGAAAAATGTATAATCCATATCCTTTGTGAGGCCAGGTCCTGACAAAGGTGGGTATATTACTGTATAAATTGGTTATTTGCATTTCCAGTAAATATAATTCAGCATAACATAATAGATTTTTAAATTATTATTACCCAAATTCATATTTCATGTTTATACCTACTTTCGTATTATATCATAAAGATTATTTTAACAGGAGACAAAAACTGATATTGCTTTTTTTGACACATGTGCTAAATCGCTAGGTCAGAAACTTCTAAGTTTCAAACTAGGGTTACCTTTATTTAAAACTGTTGATGAGAAGGAAGACAAAAAAGCTGCCCATTATGAACCTACTTTTAAATGAATAGCGTGATTGGCTATCACAGCTATAATGCGGAGTTTGTTCAACGACAAATCGTGACGTGAACCTTAGACTTTTGGATACGCAGCAGCCCAGTACGCTAACCACTAGGCCACCTGGGGCCCGGAAACACAAATCAAATTTAGATATAATATTGTTACGTCTCCGTTTGTTAATTGATTTTTCCGTAACTTCGTTCCGACGAAATA